GCCGCCCCCCCAGCCGCCAGCCCGGCCGCTGCGGTGGGGAGGCGCCTGCGGCTCACCTGCCAAGTCGTTAATGTTTCATGCCGTTAACCAACACAGGCTCCTGCTTATCAGGCACTTCTTAGAAACAAGGCTAAAAATAAGCACGAGATGTCCCCGCTGAGGCTCAAACTGCCCTGCAATACCCCCGCGGCCGGGAGATACTGCTTCGAACAGACCCGGTGAGGGGGCAGCTGGATGCCAAGTCAGTTCGATCCAGGATGTTTTAACCAGCAAATCAGTCTTAAGGCCAGGCTGGAGGGCTCGGTCTGTGCCAACCGGGGGCTCGTGCAGTCCCCGCTCTGGCAGGGGTTCGTCGCTGTTCCATCTCCGGCGTTTTCTGTGATTCTTCGTAACCGCTAAACTCCGCAAGGACGGAAGCGGCGGGCAGGGCGCTGGGATTTTTTTTTGTTTTTAGCCTTTCATGACCCCTGCCGCTGATTTGCTCCCCGAAGCCAAGATCTGCCGGGGTCACTGAGCCCGTTGGTCTACCTGGCGGTGAGACACAAGGTGCTCGGAAAGAGGATTAAGGTTTCTTCTGCAGAAGCCGCAGGAGCAATCTCCTTTAAAAAATACACTCTGTTCTCAGGAAAATCCGTTATTTTTAGTGCCCCCCAAAGGGTGCTGGGCTTTGGAGAGGAAATGAAGGAAAAGCGGTAGTTCTGAATAATTTAGAAATCAGAGTTTGGGAGATGGCATAAGTGGCAGCGCCACACTGGGGCGGGCTGGAGGAGTGCGTGGCCGAATAGCAGCCAAATAGCAGCCAGCGAGTTGAGGTATGTGCACAGTTCGTTAAATATACAGGTCAGATTTACAGCTAGCGTAAATTTGTGCAGGGACGCATGGCCCAAACGCACTAAGGTAAGTCAGTCAGAGCCTTAGCAGCGGAGGGGAACTCTCTCTGCGATCCTAAAATGAACGCACCCACAGAAAGGAAAACGTTGTGGCAGAGGGGAAGCCATAAGGTGGGCTCAGCCTCTTTCCACCAGCAGCCTCAAAGCTGCACAATAATTAGAAGAGAGGACTATTTAAAAGAAGTGGGATATTCCCTACTGGATTTAAATAGCCTTCCTGCTAACCGGCTTTCACTGCTCGATATTGATCTGTCTGCAAAATCCCGCTGCAAGTTCATCTCGGCATGGGTACAGCAGCAGTGGTGCCCGCCACCACCAGGTCCCCAGCGCACTCTCTGTCACCTATAGATTTTCACATGTCCCAGGGCGCTTTAGCAAGCATCACCCATTCACTCTCCTTTTCCTCCTGCAGCTAAGCAGCAGGAGGTATTGCGACAGCAACATTGTGCAGCTTCTAAACTGAAAGCTCACCAGCAGGACGGAAATGTTATCCTCCCATGTATTATTTACACCCACTATGTATAATGGATGTCACTACGCCCGTAGCCTGCGCTTTGCTGCGAGGCAGCTCTGCACCCCCTGCTCATGGGTGTGCACCGGCAGCGTTTAGGGCAGTTTTAAAGGGCTGCTCCCAGGAGACTTCAGACATGGTCAGACTGACATGTTTTTAGAGCAATTTGTTAAAACCTGTTAAAACCGGCTGCAATGAGACAAGAGTCAGAGAGTTGGTTTATATGACGCCTAATGTGACCGATTGGGGTAAAAGATGGAGCTAACTTTGTCCCCTCTTGGTAGCCGCTCCGGCACGGGGTCCGGACGGGCACGATGTCCCTCCCTGTTGTGTCTCCCAGCAGAAAGTGAGCAGAGCTATGGCTTCGTGCCTCCAGCGCGTGCGTCGGGTACACTGTTAGGATGCTCATTCCTTTCAGAGACCTCAATTTCTGCTAGCGTCATGGGGACGTCACCCCAACTCACAGCTTCCCCGCGTTATGGGGCATCACCTTCCTTGCACGTCCTTGACCTCGAGTGGGCCAGCCCAGCACATGCTAGTGCTGCCTCCTGTTTATGGAGGAAAACAGCCGGGCTCTTTCAAGGTTAACTGAGTGAAATGTGTTTAAGGGCGAGTTAATGATTGTGGACCCAACTGTGACTACATTCTCACTTCTTCTAAGGTATAGTTGAGATGTGGAAGAAAATTGCCCTTGATTAATAGGAACGAAGCCCATTTGCCTTATTTTAAGCATGATCTCGTGGCAGAAGATGTGGAGGGAGATGAAAACTGCTCATCCGCATCCTCGCCCAGCACGAGACACGGCCAATGCTTGGTGCGAGCACCAAGCTCTCCAACGCGAGGCAGAACCCCAAAGCTACGTCCCCATTTCCAACCCAAAGCTACATCCCCACATCCAACCCAAAGCTACATCCCCACATCCAACCCAAAGCTATGTGCCCATATCCAACCCAAAGCTACATCCCCACATCCAACCCAAAGCTACGTCCCCAAGTCCTGACTGAATGCACCCAGCCCGGCCCTCGGATGAAGACAAGGATGCTGTCCCTGCCTGTGAGCTGGGGACCCTCAAGAGCGCTTCCAAAACTGAGAAACAAGTGAAGGGTCGCAGGAGGGATCCACAAATCTATGTGCAGACTTACAGGCGAATGTATTTTTGCTCTTCAGAAGACTAACATGCAAATAGGTATGCAACTGCTACTGAAATTCATGCTATTTAAAAATAAAAGCACAGGTTCTCCCTCCTGCACTGGTACTTCAAAGACAGTTTTCTGTCACAGCAGATGACAGGGTTTTCAAATTGCAAATAAAGTGCTATATGCTTCCCTCAAACAGGTTTTACACCAAAAGAAGGTGGTCTATCTCTTGGTTAGGTCGGTGGAAGGTCAGAAGAGGATCAAACGAAACATCGTATTCACCACCTTAGCCTCAAAACTCAGGTTTAAAGGAGGCGGAGCAACACGAAGGTGTGAAACGATATTTTCACCAAAAAAAAAAAAAGTTTATGGTGTATGCCCAATGAATATTAAACAGCCACACATTTCATGGCTCTGCTGCCTGCTAGGGGCATGGTACTTAGCATTGCGTGAAGAGATTTAATTTGTATTTACAAACAGGAATAGACTCACATTCATATTTCTTTGCATACATCTCCATGATCAGCACAAGAGGAGCACGGTAAGAAAGGTGAAAGCAAGTCTTCTCCGTCAAGCATTCCCTTAAGCAATCACGCCAAGCTGGCAGAACAGGGAACTACTGAAGAAAATCCTTCTCCCCTGGCTGCTGTGACATTGCCGCTCTGCTCCCTACAGCCAGCTGCTTTAGTGGGCGAGAGCTGGCAACAGTTTTGGCTATAATTCACAAATAGTGCAATGCGTTCTCGTAGGCAAACCTTCCCTCACGCTGCAAACTGAAACGGCACAGCAGTCATATTACTGGGTTTTTTTTTTCATGCAAATCTTCCTGTGTTTTGAGGTTTAGACTGGGATCCTGTAAAGAAGTTTGGTGAAAAACGAAGAAGGATGAGATGAAAAAGGAAATTTTGAGAGAGCTACCCGCGCGGCGGCGTTAGGGTGCTCACTGCCGTAGCCAGCATAACTGAGGTGAGAACAGGAGGCTCTGGGACTAAAAATTTTTGATCTAGGTATCTCCTTCCTATGTTTTAATCTTGAAGCAATTCCACCAGAGGAAAAGTACTGCTTAAGTAACCTCTTGGGAGATGGCACGTTACAATTAAGCAAAGGCATACAAATATCGCTGCGCATTTCACGAAAACTGCTGATATCCAAAGGAGACCTTCAGGTTTGCTTGCGAAGCAAACTTTGCTTAAGCTGAAGGTGCGCTGTGCCACTCACTCGCCTCCCCCGGGCCCAGCAGAGGGGCAGCACCGTCCCCACCCCACTGACGCTCACCTGCGCGCCGGCCCGGGCCAGCTCGGACCCTGGGCAGACCTTTCCGAAACAGCGTCCAGCCCGTGGGTAGCTCCGCAGGGCATGAGCAGGCGGGCAGCAGTCCCTCCTGGCTCTGCGAGCCTTCTCGCTGTGGCTGGGAAGCGTCTCCACAGCCTGCCTCTGGCCACGTTCCTCGCTCCGCTTTTTATTTCCTTTGATCCAGCTGTGCATGGAGAGTCCTATCAGAGCACTTAAGGTATACATGGCTGTAGGGGAACGGCCAGAGCTTCGCACGGAGTGTCCGGCTGGACGCAAGGATGGGAAACCCAGCTGTAAGCACGGCCAGAGCGGCGGGCTTTCCCATGCCAGGCTGCCCCGCGGGAGCCTGCCCTCTGCTCAGGGGCTTTTCAGCTGCTCCGCTCTCGTCGTGGGTTAAGGCTGGGGATGACTTTCCCGTGCTGCGGGCCAGCTGCCTCGGGCCAGCTACTTTCTTGGCTGAGCTGAACTGCTGGTGGCTCTGACTCGTGTGCGGCCAGAGATGGAGCAAGCAATGTCCCCTCCGCTCCCATCTGTCAGTGTATTAAGAAAATGAAAGCAGATTAAAGTCCATCCCCAACTGAGCACGGTTGGTCCCTGGCAAATTGCTGACACAACCTCTTTATTAGCATTGACAAGCAGGTGTATTTTTCACCCCACTCAGATAACCGGATTGAGAAGAGATTGGGTTTTTAGGGTCGGTTGCTCTGAATATTGGCTCTAGTCAAAAGAGGAGTTTTAGTTACAAAGGAGAAGGGTCATAGCTGCGTTTTTGCCCTTGATCAGGGCCAGGGAGCGCCCTTCTTCTCCGTGGCACAGCTGGGCCGCGGACACATGACGAAGAGGCGGAAGGGGGCTCAGTGGAGAGGAGTGGGGAACCGCTTCAGTAAAGCTACACCTTTGGACCTGACCAGCTCCATGGGCTGGAGCCCAATGGCAGGTTTTAGTAGCGGCCAGAAGCTCTCTCATTTCTTGAGGAAGGAAGCTTGCAAAGCTCCATTTCCCTCCAGCTAATCTCCCGGTTCAGGCCCAAAAGGTGCTTTATAGAAGCCAGCCAGCAACAGTGAAACCAGGGAGATCTGCAAAGCAAACAGCGATCAACTGAAAAGCCTTTGGTTACTGTTCCATAGGGTGTTTGCCAAGACACACAGATCATATCGGGCTAATTTACAAAAGAAAAACCAACATAACTAGCGGGCAGGAAAACACTTTAATAAAAGGTGCATTAAATGTAAAAAGTGATAGCGCTAAGAGGTCAAGCCATTTTTAAAGGCTGGAAAAACAGGAAATGTCAGGCAAATTGCATTCTTGAGTTGCCTCTGCATAATATATATTGAAGTATGCACTTGTCACCTTTTGTAATAGGATTTCAGGTTGCTAGCAAGGCATTTATAAAATCCAGAGATTGCCCAATGACAGGGTAGTGACATTACACCCAGTGTAACGCTGCCCTAAGCACCTTGACTTCCAGAGGGCCAAACTCATCCGAGGGAGACTCAGGCGACTTTCGCCTACATGTCGTCTTCTGCTTGAGCCTTAACAAAGATTTTGCTGTTGGAGTTGCACGCAGCCAGCTCTGAAGGCAGCCGGGGCGGCTCGGCCGAGCGCCTTGCTCGCGCGCTAGCCGAACGCAGTCGGTAACCATGGCAGCGAACAGATTTTTCACGTGACGCTGGTATTTTTGCAGTACAAAAGAGCCTCTTATCTAGACTGAGTAGTCTGGCTTGTCTTCATTCCTCCAGTTATTGCAAAGACAGAGCGCTCCCCGGGGCATGGCCCACGAGGATGCCTGGCATATTCGGGCCCCAGGACCCCTCCACGACCCGCAGGCCAGGACATGGGAGCTAGTGGGGTGCAAAAAGGTGCGCATGCGTGTGCCGTGGCAATGGTCTGGCTGCAGGGAGGCAAAAACAGTCCCCGTTCCTTATAAAACAGCTAAAGTTGAACAGCATAGAGGTTGTCATCACAGCGTGCATAAGCTTTAGTGGTCACCTCTGCACTGCACTGCATTCGCGACCCGATTGCAACTGTGCAAAGTCTAATGTGCGTCGGGACATGCCGCTCCTTGGCGATCGCCGCCCACCGCTGGCGGAGATGTCCCTCAACAGCCACATCGACATACCCACAGTCCAATTTATCTCACTTTTTTGGTTGTTTACATTGTCCCCCAACTATCCCTCCAGTTTCACCCAGAAACCTGTTTTTACAGTTTCACTCTTTGGCTTCCTGTTCTCCAAATGCTTCACGTGCACAAAGCGACTTCTAAAAGTCGAAAAAAACACGTGAAATAAAGCCAGTATCTTGACTTCAGATGACGCAAAATCAACTCACTGCATTTTGTTCAAGCTGCCCAAAACATTCACCCTTGGGCAGGGACCAGACTTGGAAAGCTTCACCCCAAAACGGGAACCAGTCAATGAGGAATGAGTGGGAAAAGGGAAAATGGCATCCAAGCTTGAGCCAGAACAGCTGCTGTTAACAGGTACTGGCGTGTGTAACCACGCATTTATGTACTTCTCTATATGACCCCTTTGCAAATGATGATCTGGCCTTCTCTCAGTGCATTAATTCCAGTGGGAATATTGCTACACCTATTTACTCGACTTAAAATGAGATTTCGGCTTCAATACATCACGAGGTCAAGGCCAGAGAAAACAAGGACTCGTATTAGCTCTGTTTTATAGCAAGGTAAAGATGGACGCAGGGGAATTTAATTGCAGCCACAACTCAAAGCAGATGTACGCAACAGAAACAAATATAGGAAGAGAAAGTGATTTATAGACTGTTTGCAGAACTAAGAGCGTGTCCTGCTGGTTGAGATCTCCAGGTTTCAAGATTAAAGTGTTTAATTTTGTTTCAAGCTTTATAATTAAACGCCATTTAACTGGGCTTTCCGTTTATCCTGCAATTTCTTTACGGACACAAGACTAATCCACAAACCTGCTTATTAGTTTTTTTACTTTCATTATAACCTTATCAGCGATTAACCTCCAATTGCTCTTAATCTTTTAAAAAGATTGCCCTAACCATAGATATGGAGAGGATACCTGCCCTGTTTCTGTCCATAGGAAAGCAACTTTCTATGCAGTTAAATATCTCTGTCGGGTTATATTGTTCCTTTTGCAATTGAATCTTTCTGTCTATGATATATTTGTTCTCAGACTTTGTGCAGAACACTAAATCAGCCTCAGTTTTCTGAAAGATATAACAGCATAGGCCCCACGGAAAATCTTGTGTCTGCCATGTGAATACACAAAACCACCAGTAAAGATACCACTTGTGATTTGAGGGCAAAAATTAGCACATTAATAAAGAGCTAACAACAGCATACTCTACTATTTCCTTCAACAAAGTTACCTCTTCCACTTATTACTCAAAAGTAGGAAAGGGAAAAATATTGGTGCAAGAATATCTAGTTTCCACGAATATGGACATCTGAGAAATCAGTTACAAATGAAAGGCACTATAAATCAGTGGACGGGATGGCATTGCAGAATTTGCAGTGTTATGGTTGGTGCTGGATTGGCAATAAGCAACCCATAGACTATAAAAATATTATGCAAGGAGCAGAGACATCTGTATGAGATCAATACAGCACTTGAATGACATTGAAACGGAATGAGCAAAAGCTAAAAAAGCAATAAAAATATATGGAGCATTACAAAATCATTCAGGAACATTATGAGGGCAGTGGAAACAACAGACTTGTGATAAGCATATGGTGTAAAAGTATCTAATAGGAACCAACATAAAGGAAAGTCATCGCAAATGCAGCAAAATTGGATTGTAGCACTGCGTGGTAAATAAATGGATTTGTAAAAATCAGCAGAAACCCAGTTTTATGATCAACCCCCAAACCCAACAGAGACGCTACATGGGCCTGGAGCTGCCCATATGCTCAGCTTATGTGGCAGGGCTGTCATTTCCAAGTAGTCCCGCGCAGTGAATGGCTCTGGGCTCAAGGCTCCAAATGTGCCTCTAAGCCCAGCCCTACCTTGACCTGAATTATTACCTGGGGAAAGGGCTAAAGCCATAAGCAGCTCGCAAAGGAGGATAACTTTAAATCTTCATGTGTTTCCAGAATTACCAGTTATGTTTCCATTATTATCTAATGCTACATCTTGAGAACCAAGATCTTCATACCTACGTATTTATCAATTAAGAAAAAACTTTTTTTCTCCTTATAGAGATAAAAATAATGTATAAAAATCTCAGCTGCTAGAATTATGCGACCATCAGAAGTTTACTGGAAAATTAGTGAACCCATGTGGCTTGGCTTTTTACTCCTGTCCTTGTCTCCATGTGATTCTGGGAAAATCTTAGGAGGACTGTTTTCTCATTCAGCTGGAGCAGAAATGTTCCCGAAAGAGTATTTGTCTTCTTACATAGTCTAAGCATTGCATTAATTTCATAGGCCACAATGCTGATTTAGTAATATATACATTTTAGTATCACAGGCTTGAAATAGTCCCCCAAATTGTTTAGGAATGGTTCTTTCTTACGAATATTCACCTTGTTTTTCTGTGTGTGAGTGAATTTGAATATAAGTCATACGAAAGGATGCCTCTATTATTTTGCACAGACTAGTCACCCGAAGCATAGATGTTTTAATTTTGGACTGACTTTTTAAGGTGTGTTTTGTTCATTCACAGAGATTAGCCATGTCAGTGGACAACACACCTTCTCCCACTTTGGAGGTAAGACAGTTTCCAGAAATCTTAATATTTTGCAGCCAGCCTTCACCAAGGCATTGCTGGTTCCCAGTTTTCAACCACACCGTTTCAGACTAGAAACTTCTTATAGATGTGCTCACATAAAGTCAACATATAAACATTGCTGAATTCAATAAAAAGCCCCAGACCTTTAATTTGATGTTTAAGAATGTATGCCTGCACATAAGAATGAAGCCTGCACATCAATTTTGCTTTCAAAAGAATAAAAAGGAGGAAAACACCTGGAATTTTGAAATAAAATCACAGAAAACTGACTGCAGTCTAAGTGGGGTTTATTGTAAATACATTGGATCGTGAAAGCCATTAAAGTGTACTATTTATTTAAACTATTTTTACAAATCATATAAAAAGGTAGTGTGAAATCAGAATCCCAGTTTGACTTTTACACGTTTTCTGGTTTGATCATTTAAATTTTTATACAGTGAAAAAACACTTGGTGCTCCCCACCAAAACCTTCCACCAAGAAGGGCATCCGGGAACAAATTGTAAATGATTAAGGATGAGAAATATTTAGAGAGGTTTTGATGCTCTTACCAGAGTTCAGGCTTTTCTCTGCAATCTTAAGGACAGTGGCAGCCTCAGATCCTCCTGTAACATAGTGGAGTTTCCTGAAGTTTTATTTAAAAGAAACCAAGTCATCGCTAATTAACATTAACACATATACTGGCTTTTTCCTCCACAGGAACTCATGTTTTTTAGCAAGAGTGAGAAAAAAAAAATGCAGCTATTACAGCAAAGCACAAAAACCCATCATGAGGTCGAGAGCAACAAAAAGGTTCTTTATGAAAAGAAGAATTGTTACAAATAACGACATGCGCTGATGACACCTGCACTGTGATACCTTTTATTATGAGCTCTGCTGTTTCGTAGGCAGACTCACCAAACCTGCAGTACCTGTCTGAGTATTTGCTGAACGGCCGAAATTTCCCTTGACTGTGTCTCAGGGACTGCTCCGTGCAGCAAAATGCGCCTCATTTTTTTCTTCCGAAGGAAGGAAAACTGGCTTCGTTTGACAGAGCAGGCGATGCTGCAGAGACCTGGCAAGCAGAAACCCAGGGGACAAGATTTGCATCTTCCCCCAATTAAGCATCATATCAAGAGTGCCTGTTTGCCTCCTCATCCCAGGAAAGCAAAACTTGTGTTTTTTGTATTAGAATAAATAGCGATGAAGGAGTAAATGAGCGCAGCTTTCAGTGGACAGGGGGAGGCTGGGCTGGACTTTATCCATCTGAGAAGCTTGACTCTTCCACGCAGTCATCGCATCTCTGCTCAGCAGCTTGCCTTAGAGTGACGACGAGGTTAAGGAAGCTGAAAGATTGGTGACGTTGGAGAAAGCAGGCACCGCGAGCCTGCAGCTCGGTGTGCGGGGTGTAAGACCAGGACCCTCATCTTCTCTCCCAGCACCACATGTCTCGCCGTTAAGCAGGGAACCGAGGCGTTGAGAGCACTCTCTGACAATAACAGACATTGTCCAAAGCGAGAGCGGCTTCGTGAAGGCAAAGTGTCTGAGATCCAACAAAACGACGGGAAGGGCTTGGGAACTGGCCGTCAGAAAGGTTGGCAGGTCACGGGCGCACAGGGAAGCACGTGGTGACCAACACACTGTGGGATCAACGGCACCTCTGCTTGCACATGGCTGACTCTGGGCTAAATGTGAAATACTGGCTTGGAGAGCATAACACTTATCTCACTTCTCTTTTCTGTTGCAGCTAGAAATCAGCAAGGCTTTTCACCTTCTTAATTCTGTTTTCCTCTTCTGTGGTGGCAGAACCATGGAAAACCAAGGCCGGAAGGGCTTTCCAGGGGCCATCTCCTGGTCCGAGACGGGCTCAGTTATACTTCTGTCATCCCCAAAAGAAGTTTGTCAAATCTGTCCTTAAAAACTGCCAATGATGGAGAGCCTACAACAGCCCTGGCAGTCTAATCCTGTCACTCACTCCTCTTTCCAACAGCAAACCTGAATTACTCTTGACGCAACGTACTACTTTTTCTCTTGTCCGCTCTTTCCTCAGAGATGGCATCTTTTACAGTTTTGCTCATTTTTGCATCCTCTAATTAGGCTACACCTATGTGGAATCGCATCCTGAGTGGGGCAGAAGAGGATCCTCATGTGTCTTGCAGGCTATGCATGCCAGGGTGGACTTTGATTTTTTCCTTACACTATGATTTGACCTCTGTTCAGCTTGTGAGACTAACCCAAATCCTTTCCAGATGAATCACTTGGTAACTGTTTGTGACAAGCTTGAGTTCAACAGAGGAATCTTATTTTTTTTCCCTTTGTGTTTACCTCTGGCTAAGCAAAGACTCAGATTTCAAAGGAGAATAACTCTTCATTTTTCATCTGAACAGACATTCATTAACCACTCAGAGCTGTAAAAAATGATTTCTTCAGGGCTACCTCTCTGTAAGGCTGGTTTTTGAGGCAAGAGGGCTGGCCTGGTTTTTAGTAGGAATACTCATAAAGATGCTCAATAAAACCTGATTTCCAGAGTGCAGGAGCTTTATGTAGTTCTAGGTGATATGGCGAAGGGTTTTATCAACAGTGGGTGAAGGTCTAAGTAGAAAAGAAAGGCAGAGCCTATCGACATCACTTAGTTAGCAAAGCCTATAGCTGGTTCACAGAAATTGTTAATGAGTAAAAGCGTCTATTTGTCTGACTTCTGCTCGTGGCACTGGCCCTGGAATTTAATATTTTTTCATTTCCCTTCTTCTATCTCTGAAATCTCAGCAGAAAGTATCTCCTCATCCTCTTGTGGGGCAGAAATCACACGAATAGCGACTAAATTGTCTGAAGATGTTGCGATGATTTCTTCCCCCTTTGGAGGGTCTGCTTTGGGGGAGGCTGTGGGGGATCGCCGGTGTACTGGTGATTTTGGTGGTGTTGGACTGAAACTGGAATCCTGCAATCCAAGAAAGGCAAAATAAACATTAGGAGACCCAGGTCTGTGGCCGGGTCCCTTAGCTGCTATCCCTGAGCTACGGCCATTAGGGCTCCGCTAGTCTGTGTCTGTCAAAGACAGCAAGGCATTTCAGAGAGTTTTACTGCACCAGATCTCATCCTCAGGATTTCACCTTGCTGAAAAGAACTATCATTGTGAGAAGGAAAGCTAGAGTATAACATTGACATCTTGAGATAAGCATAAAGAGATGAGTGCAAAGAAGCTTTCTCACACCCTAAACTCTTGTTCTTTCATGAAGCATCTAGAGGGTTTTGATGGGTTCATCTTGGCAATAATTTTGCAAAACTGTTGTCATGATGAAATCAACCCCACAATGTCTTAAGGCCAGATTTCTCTCATTAGAGAGAACTGGCAGCAGGTTCAAAAACTCCTTCTTCGGACGCACCCCTGGTGAGGGACGAAGCTGCAGGTGCTGCTAATGGGGCTCTTAAGAAATGCACCCAGTGGTGATGGATTTTATTGCCATCACCATCCATGCAGCTTTTAACTCATGTTTAATTCAGTTAAACCTTGAATTGTGTGAAGTCTAGCCATGCATTTGTGAAGGACTGCAGAAATGCATTCAGGGTTCTCCGTGTCTCTCTAGATGTTTACCCAGCCATCGAGGCCGCAGCGTGCTTCACCTCAACTGCTGTTTCACTTCTCTTGTTTTTATGCATTCAGATGTGATATCCTGTATAACTCCATACCGAGGAGAGTAGTAACAAGGTCTGCATGGAGATATAATCCTTTTTTTATGAGACCAATAGAGAGAGTGGAAAAAACCAAGAACTAGTGGGCCATTATTTTGTTCAGTCATTTACGATACCAAACGAAGGGTAATTTCATTCTGAATCATATAGAGCTAGAAGGATAGTGCATCTGCTGGTGCATGGCTCTGCCCAAACTGCGCTGTGAAAGCTTTGCAGATATTGACTGCCCTGTTGACGCTGGATCACTGTCCGTCCCGCCAGCCCATCGATTAGTTAGGAAGGGCTCTAGGACAGCGGCATGGACGAGACTTTACTCTGTGGCTATATCCCAGTTTCAAACCAGAATGAGGCTTAACATTTTCAAATACAGGGCAAAAAGTTTCTGTGTTTCCCTTTTGTGTTGTAAAACAAACAGTTGCGTAAGCATACGGGAGGACGATCCGCTCTCAAGGCCATAATATAACCTGGTTGGATCGCCCTTCCCATTCATCCATACTACTTCAGGCTCAGCCTGATGGTCTGAGTTCAGTTCTTCAAGGTGCCTTCAGCAGCTTTTTGACTGTCCCAGCTGGAGAAAAACAAAAGGAAGAACTGAGAGGCTAGGCTTGTTGTTGTCTAGGCTAGCTATAAGCTCCCTGAGACCCTCACTCAATCTCTAGAGCCCACACTGGAGAGCAGCAGTTTAGCAGTTAACGAAGCAAACCCAGATACCCATCCTTTCTCCTGACCTGCATGGCCTGCATTGCTTTGAGCTCCTTGAGTTTCCACCGGAGGTGAGCGAACTTCCCTTTGCCTCCCATCTTCCCTGCAGCAGCCAGGGCGGCCTGGAAGAGTTTCGGCGTGTCAGGTTTCGGGGGAATGATCAGTGAGTCACCCGGCACTCCTTTCTCATCTTTGGGTTTATTGTTGTTTTTCAGCATTTTCCTACAACAAGAAAAACAAGAGACAATTTCTGTCCGGGGATACATTATGCTGGCTTGATTTTATAATGTAGAAAGATCGTAATTTTACAGTAAAGGGACCTCTAAAACCTTAGAAAGGACAGACTAATCTAAGCAACGCTAAAACCAAAGAGAATATTTTAATACCATTTTAAATGAATATACTTTGGCCAAGTTTGTCCCCACGTTGTATTCATTTTGTGTGATGAAGCTTTACAGGCTGAAAAATATCATTAAAAATATGTCACTCCCCCCCTCGTTAGCTCTGACATGGTATCATAGGAATAACCCATGTGGGTAATACAGAAAGCTGCAAAATAGCGGGTATGGGATTGTTTGGGATCACTCTCACGCTTCGCCCCAGAGACAGCCATGCTGGCAGCCCCAGCGGTAGCTAACCGCAAGGGACGGGTGCCCTCTGCTGCCTCACTAGCAGCTCCTCTAAACTCACGTTTTTGTCTTCATCATATTTTCAACAGACTCAAGTATGCTTCCCTTCTGGGGTCGTTCCATCTGCAGCTAAAGGGCAAATGCGTCCATAACCTGTGGCGTGTGCAGCCTGAATTTTCCCAGTCCTTTGCACACAGTTTCTGCCGTTTGTGAGAAATCTTCCCCATGATTTTGAAACCTCTGCTCTGTCTTTGTAAGGACCCGCAGCCTAGAAAGCGGCCTGCCACTCACTTAGCTTTTCTACGCAGCAACTTTTGAGACTCTGGATAATGCACCAAAATTTCGTTCAAGTCCTTCTTATCCAAAATGAAAAGATTAGCAAATCCGTGAGCTACGACGTTTGCTGTTCGGCGATTTCCTCCTCCTGCTGCCAGCAAGCTGTGTAAAACACCGAGAGATGTTAAAGCTACTGCTAACAGGCTCAATGCAACATTTATATTTTAAAATCTCACCTTTCCCATCGTGTGCCTCTGTCACTCCATTTCAGAGTTTACCTTTTACCCACAATGCAATTTTCCAAGTTTTAAGAATGCTGTGAAACACTGGTGTGAAATGCTATATACAAAATGACTTGCCTGTTTGTAAATTTTAAATACTGCAATTTAAACCAGTTTAATATACAGTAGGCACTGCTCAATGCTTATGGCTTTTAATTACAAAGATTAGAGTGATGATCTGCCTTCCCAGACCTCGTTTCCCAAACCTTGCTAATCTGCACACCTCCCACCTTAGACTCCCAGGGCCAATTGGCTGCATTTCCCTGGCGATACTTTGCTGACCTTATTTCTCCAAACACGGATCCAGCTTTCAGAGTTACCAGCACGGTTTTGCCATCAGGTCCTCCGAGCACCTGCACTTGGCCTGCCTGGATGATGTACATCTCGCGACCGATTTCTCCCTGCAACACAGACAGGAGCAGGTTGTGCGGGGTGCGCGGCTTGTCCCTGCGTGCTCAGGACGAGCCAAACTAAAAACAAGGAGAGCTCGTGACCCATTCCCCATAGTCATACTGCTCTCTCCAAGCATGCAAACTGCTTTATCTGGATGATATTCCCTCCAAGCATCCTCATCTAACCCCAAAGTCTACTGCAACTCAGGACGCTTTTTCCTGCACCCTTGCTGTTCTGAGCTACGGCAGAAGAGGTCAGTCTTTGCACAAGATCGGGAGCAACATTATTAATTGCTACTGAAGAGGTTTTTTGCTCTGGATTTGCTCGTCCTGAAGTGGCTCAGCACCTGCCATACTCAGCCCGGCCGAACTTTCTCCCTTCCTTACTGCCCCAGGTGCGTTGCAAAGCAGTTGTGCAGCACATCAAGCCCTCGAGGGTGAGGAAAGTGGCAGCAAAGCTTCAATTTGCCATCTGCCTCCTTTTGGGTTTCCTCGGTATCCAGGCAGCTCCTTGCACCTCTATCCCGGGGCCATAGCACATGGCAGCAAGGGTCCACAGACGACACACCTGGCCACATTGGTGCTGAGAGGCCAGAGAGAATAGAGGGTTCAAATGGCTCTTTACCTTCTTACACACGTAGTCGTTAGGTAGGTAGACAACCGACCTGAGCCGCTTCAGCATGTCAAAGATCATCTGCCTGTCACAGCCCTGAGCCAAAATAAAGTGAACAGCACCGTTAGTGTGCCACAGCATGCCCCGTTCCCTGTGTCTGGACCTGCAGGTGCAGGTGGTACCTGGAAAAGTGCCACTTTGCTCACGATGTTGTAGTTCACATCAATCGCAATATCCAGCCTCATCTTGTCTGGCAGCTGCACCAACAGCTCTGACTCATCTGCGAGAGGCAGAGAACAGAAACTGCCTATTCACAGCATTTTATCCAAAGCATCATAGCGTGGCTTTGACATCTAAGTGGGAAAGTTGCCCACGTTTTGGCAGCAAAAGGTGGGAGCCAACTTAACCAGGAGGGTCTCCTTGGACTTCTGTGGGCCTGGGAACCTATAGGTCTAAAGACTGATGGGTGGCAGTGGGCAACCCTTCTGCTTTCCCTGCCCTAATGGCTCACAGAAGTAAAACAAGCCTATTTTTCAGGCCACATCTTACAGCAAGCCCAGACCTATATATTTATGACCCTGTAGTGTTGGTCGAGGAGCGCATGGGTGACAGGGCAGGTGACCCCACAGAGCTGTCCTGCCACAAAGGCACACCACGGAGGCTGGTCTGCACTTTGCTCTTCAAGCCCATGGCTCAGCGCAGGGTATTTCTGCCAGATCTCCAGAGCCGGGAAGGACTGAATGATTTACTGATAGGATGACTTGGTGGATTTGTTGTTTGCCACGATTTGGCCAGTGATTTCAAGGCCTGTGGACTAAGAGTTGCGATGCTGGGATGGATGCGTGCTGTGAGCGATGCCAGGTCACCATAACTCTGCATCCCAGCAGCAGCCTACCATGCTATATAGGTGAGCAAACAAGCACATATAGAGAAAAGAGTAAAATAAGCAATGCCCTGAACCTGCAGCACTAATGCCCTGCTGCTGTTTTGACAGTAACATTTTAGCTCTGCCAAACAATTATAGCGAAGTAGTGCAAGCCTTATAAAGACATTAATCCTCAAAGCCATTGGCTCTCACCTAGCATGCCTTGGGAATGCCACGTGTACTCGTACCACGTTTTGACCCGGTTCTGAACAGCTCTGGGGATTTTGTAGAAGTTCATGTATTTAATAGTACTGTCCATGCAGCTCCGATAATAAGTTTGCCCTGCAGTAGCGGCGCCAACCACATCTCTCATCTGAATCGGAGGAAGAGTTGGAAGAGATGGTATACTTATTGTTACTTATCCATCATACTGGTTAAGCAGGCTAGAGAACATGAACGTTGACATATACTCAACCCTAGCATCTCCCAATTCTTTTTTGTCTGCTGTTGATGCTGAGCAGCTAAAAAGCCCTTGCGTCAGTAAAACAAACCTGGGAATAATGGTAGAATGAACCGATCAGACAAAAATTTTTCCCTGTCTGAGGATGAGAAGTCCTACTTGTGCTTGCCATCACACCACAACACAGCTTTGGGAAGGGACCGTAAAACGGCACCTCGTGGGAAACGGAGATTCCCACCCACCTGGCCTATCATGACAGAGAAAGCAAAGACACCCGTGAAATAGTTCAGCAGCTGGAAGACGATCTCAAACAGCGTCTTGGGGTCCGGCAATCCTCCGATGGTGATGAGGGTTTTGACTGCCCAGTAATAACAGCGGATGTAACTAGGAGGAAAAGAAGAAGTGGTTTTCAACAGGTTGCCTTAGATCTCAACCAAGCCATAGCCTTGCAGCCCCTTATTTTAACTGCACTGATTTCTAATCCCATCCCTCTTGTCCCAGCTATTCTCCTTGTCACCTCATCCTCCCTCCTGGGGCTCCCACCTTGCATCAGGGTTTTTAGGAACCCAGCTGTATCCTAACACCTTCTGTTTTGCTCCTGTTCATCACCCTAGGCTGTAGTACATGAGGAACCAAGGCCTAGTTTGTACCTATTTCCTTCCCCATCATAGACCCAGGTGGTAGAGCCCAGTCCTTCGTACGCTGATGCCCAGTAATAGAGGCAGGAGTTCACATGCAAGCTGTAGAGTAAATAGGCAGTGGTCCGAATCACTCTGCCGAAAAAAAAGAGGTAGCAAGAGGGAAGTTGATATGTTATCTGCTGGGAGGAACATGCCTGACATCTCCCAAATGTCACGGGTAAAAGGAGATAGGAGACACCTGAGTTTTGACAGCAAAGGTCCTGCTAACCCAGGAATTGGAGTGCTCCTGAACGTGTGGCGGCCCACTGTTCCCTCTAGCAATCGTGCACCCAAACCGCCATGTAACTCTCAGAAAAATTTAAGAAAAAGCAGCTTATCTGCTGGTTCCACCTGTTCATTGCCAATGGGGCTGTCCCCACTGCTTTGGGGAGAAGGACTTGTTTGTGTGTGGGCTCTAGGACCCACATGGCCCTGTGCTGCTAGTGCCCACCCTGTGGCATGATGTGCACATCAGCCTCTGGAGAAAAAGGCCATAATTACTGATGCACATTTTGTCAAATATGGGGAAGGGTAAGAAACTAAGTTGGAAACTCAGAATTGGTGAGCCAACCCAAAGGGAACTTATTTCCCCACTAATAAATGGCAACTCCATGATATCTCCCTCCATAAATAGTTCATCACCAGTGTCTCTCACCTGTAGATGTATGCCTTGCTCAAGATAGCCTCAAGGCGGTTATTAAACTCAAAGAAGGCCATGTACTGAGAAGAGAAGGAGAGCAGCATACTTCAATTTCTGGCAGCCACAGCCAAGAGCTCATTCTGAGCAACTTCCATGAGAAACCAACTAGGATCGTTACGTTTTAGCACTGTATGCCCTTAAAAAAAATTCTAATTTCTCCTTCCATTTTACTCATACAGTTACTCTGCAGTATGAACTACCAAGGATGGATTTTGATTACGATCTATATGTACCCTTTTATTAAAATGTGAGTGTATTTTAGGATTGAAATAAAGTATTTAATCAACAGTCCCTCGAGGTCTTAGAGACAAGACTTCCCTTCCCTCATACAATCGTCTTGTTATCTAGCCGGTCTAGCAAGCAATAACTTACCCTGAACAGCACTGGGCTCTGTTACATTCACTTAAAATGATCTTCCAAGTTATGTTGTAAGTTCCAACTCACCTTCAAACAGCGAGGGAAACGTAGGAGCGGATTGACCCCAACTTTGAAGTAGAAGAAATCCAGAGGAAGGAGGCACATCATATCCATCTGAAACCCCCACAAAAAGAGAATCCCCTGTGGTGAACTGCAAGCATGGTAGGGCTCGTCTGCACTCCATTTAACTGAGAAGAGCTACAAGGGAGCCCTTTTGCTCTCATTTAATGAAACACAGCTTCCAACAAATGCAGTAACAGCGGCAGGTGCAATGACACAAACTGAAAACCGCTCTGTGTCCAATGGACGTGATTAAGCTCTAACACTTGGGAAACTGTGATGGCAGTGTCACCAGTACCCTGGTGAATTAACGCTGGAGCAGGGCAGCTGGTGTCTCTGTGGCTGTGTGGCAACTCTTCCCTGGCCTTGGGCGCATGACGCTGCCATCAGCCCTTACCCACTGTATGCCCCTATGGTCCTGTGTCATATGGGTAGTCTCCATCCAAGTGCGCACATGGAGAGAACAGGTCCCTAACGTCCTTTCCTCTCCTTTCACATCCACTCAGGTCAGCTCAAGTACATCCTCTAGTACACTAAAAGACCTTTCCCAGTGTACCCACCTATACTTGAAATATTTCAGATTAAAGGTTCAAATTAATATTCAAATTGGTTTTGAACACATGGCAGCACATTTCTTTGAAAACACTGCTGTATGCCAGGTGTCTTCAAACAGCAAAATATACGGAACGAGGAAATAAAATGTGTCAGACCTTAAAGCGCTGTGATTTCAGGTAGTTCTCTTTCATGGCCTTTTTATCACTCTGATTGGGAAGAGGAGAAAGAGAGATCATCAGCTGCAGAAAGGAAAATATGCACAAGTATAGTCATGCCTTGCTTTGCCCCTATGCCCGTCAAAGGGGAACATGCTCCCTGCGTGCATGGGAGAGGAACCAGAGTGAAAGGAGCAGAAGAAAACACAGCTTCATGCCATCTTCCCACCACAGACAACAGCCACAGCACCATGCCTTCTCCACTGGGGAAGGCGATTTGGCTTTTTGAAAGCAGGGAGGAGAAAAAGGAAGGTGTCCAGGGGCAGCCTCAAAGAGCCTTGCCTCCAGTCTGAATTAGAGTAATTTTTTCCACTTATGCCACATCCTCTCCCACCTTGTGGGGCTGCTGGGCCAAGGAGATGATTTGCTATAGTAGTCTAGACTTGCAGTCAAGGCTGGGACAGGGACAGTGGAAGCACAGTACCTGAAGGATGTACTCATTTTGAGGTCATTTCTTAGGACATC